CCAAAAAAAAAAAAAAGATACAAGGGCAGGAAACTTGACACTGGTAGCTTACACTGTAAGTCTTACTCAGGAGGCTGAGATCTGAGAATTGTAGCTTGAAGGCAGCCTAGGCAGAAAAATTCAAGAGACTCTTAGCTGCAAAGTACTAAACATGGAGACATGGGTTCAAGTGGTACAGTGCCAGCTGTGAGCAAAAAAGCCAAGCTAGAGTTTGAGGTCCTGAGTTTAAGCCCTAGTATCAGCATTAAAAAAAAAAAAAAGAGCCAGGTGCCATTGGTTCATGCCTATAAGTCTAGCTACTCAGGAGGCTGAGCTTTGAGGATCACAGTTGAAGATAGCCTGGTCAGACAAATCTGAGAGACTTTTATCTTCAATTAACCATCAAAAAGCTGAAAGTGGAGTTGTGGCTCAAATGGTAGAGTGCCAGCCTTGAATGAAAAAGCTAAGGGACAGTGCCCAGGCTCTGAGTTCAAGCCCCGGTATTGGCATGATTAAAAAAAAAAAAAAAGAGCTGGGCACCAGTGACTCATGCCTGTAATCCTAGCTACTCAGGAGGCTGAGATCTGAGGATTGCATTGCAAAGCCAGCTCGGGCAGGAAAGTCCATGAAACTCTTATCTCCAATTAACCACCAGAAAACCAGAAGTGGTACCATGGCTCAAGTGATACAGTGCTGGCCTTGAGCTAAAGAGCTCAGGGACAGTGCCCAGGCCCAGAGCTCAGGACCAGACTGCCCCCCCTCCTCAAAAAAAAATATATATGTAAGGACAGGTGCTGGGTGTTGTGGCTCATACCTGTATTCTCAACAACTGGAGAGGCTGAGGCGGGAACATTGTGAGTTCAAGGTCAGTGTGAACTACATAGAAAGACTGTCTCCAAAAAGAAGGACAGAGCTGGGGTGTAGTCAGTTGCATAACACTTACCTAGCATGTATGAGGTCCTGGGTTTGATCTTTTGCTCTACAAAAGAAAAAAAAAATGTTACTTCCACAGTGTTATGCTGAGTGGTGCAGCCAGAAAAGACTGGATAATGTATGGGCCATGTATGGAAAATACCTAGTATAGGCAGATTCATAGAGAGAAGGCAGATTAGTGATTTCCAGGGGCTAGGGGGACAAATGAATGAGGAGTAAATACAAAGGATGTATTTGGGATGACACAAATTGTTCACCTTATAGTGGTTAATTAAGCCAGCATAATGGTGTGTTCCCACAATCCCATGCTTCTGTGGTCTCAGCTGTATAGGACTTGTAGGTAGAAGGATCACAGTCCTAGTGTGGTCCTGGAAAAATTGAGACCCTTTCCAGAAGCCTTGAGTTCTGTGCTTTTCCTGGTTATATCTAATGACTAAATCCAGATGGTGCTCATGTCTGCAATTCTTTCTTGATTTCTTTCTTTGTAGATAGAAGATGGTGAAATTTTTGCAAGTATTAATCAGAAGGATGGTATGGTCAGTTTTCATGATAATCCTGAAAAATATAATAACCCAGCCATGCTTCATAACATCGATCAGGAGGTAAATGTGTTGCCAGGTTTGGGCATTTTTGATTGATGGCTTAGTTTCTGTACTGAAAATGTTGTTGCAGCGTAGTTTTAGTTTAATACAGTTCCCAACTTAATGAACACTATTTAGGAAGTCATTTTTAAAATGGGTTGCTGAAACTCTTCTGGATTGTAAGGTAATACTAAATGGCAAGTTAGATTTCTTAACAGGCTCACCAATGCCTACTTTAATTCCAGAGACACTTGAAGGCTCTAGTACAATTCTGTCTGTGCTCAACTGCTACAGTGTGGCCTTGTGTCCATGGATGTTCAGGTAGAGAGGTCAGGAAGCATCTCTTCTGTGTCAGGAATAGGGACAGGCAGCAAGAGGAGGAGAAGGACACCCCAGTGTCCTGTTGGTAGCAGAAAAGGCCACTGATGGCTGCCCACAGTGCTCCGTGTTCTGGGTGTGAGGTAGCATCTGGGCATTTGGGTTTCTTATGTCTGAGTAAAGAAATTATTGAACTTACATCACATCTAGAAACTTAAAAAGCAACACATACAATTCCTTTCTTGCAATTAAACAAAAACTAGAAGCTAGAAATTGTTTTGGTAAATCATGGATGGAAAATATTGCCTGAAATGCTGTATAGTCTTCACACTTAGCTTCAATATGCTTCAGTTTCATTGGAAAAGATGTTGATGTATTTGACTATGTGTGCTGCTGCTCTGACTTCTAGGGTGTTAGACAGCATACAGCACCACTTAAGTAACACTGAATCCACAATGTTCTGACTCCAAAACCTGTTAGTGCTGAGGTTCCAGATTAGGAATTATGAACCTCTGGCATGTCTAAGAACAGTTGGGATTCCAGAGGATTTGATTGACCCACACCTACTTGCTAACCATGGGTTATATCATGCAGATGCTAAAGTGCATAGAGCTGGACGAGCGGCTGAAGGCTATGGACCAGGAGATCACAGTGAACCCCCAGTTTGTGCAAAAGGTGAATGGGGTTCCTTCATGAGATAACTGATCAGGTGGAAAAGGAGGGTGGTTGTCTTCTTCCTCCAACCTCAGGCACTGGAACTTAGTTTTAGGTTATTAAATATTTGGTTGGTTGTTCTTAAAAACCATAATCACTGAAAGTGGCGCTGTGGCTCAAGTGGTAGAGCACTTACCTTGAGCTGGAGAACTCCGGGACAGTGCCCAGGCTCTGAGTTCAAGCCCCACAAATGACTAAAAAAAAAAACAAAAACCAAAAAAAACATAATCACAGCTGGGAGCTGGTGGCCCATTCCTGTAATCCTAGCTACTCTGAGGCTAAGATTTGAGGATTACAGTTTGAAGCCAACCAAGAAGACAAATCTGAGAGACTTATCTCTGGTTAACCAGCAAAAAGTCAGAAGTGGAGATGTGTCTCAAGTTGTAGAGTGCCAACTTTGGGCAAAAAAGCCAAGTGAGAGTATAAGACCCTGGGTACTGGCATCAAGAGAGAGAGAAAGAGGTTTTTGTTGTCAATAACATTAGACATGTGCTTAGGAATGTGCAAGGGGGTCACAAGTTGGCTCCAGGTTTTCTGTTTTGTTCCCAGGGTGCCTTCCTGTGGGAAGAACAGGGAATAAATAGCCAGTGTGCTTGTTTGGGGTTAGGAGACCCCTTAAGAAAGGCAATCATAAACACTCTTTGCTTTCCCCTTCACAGAGTATGGGCTCGCAAGAAGATGATTCAGGAAACAAGCCCTCCAGTTACTCCTGAAACTAACACCCATCCTGAGTTGCACAGGCGAATGTCACCTTGGTGGCCAAGAGCGTGAAGAGGGCAGCAGGGAGCACCATGCCTGTTCCACCTGGACATTCAGTTTTGTTTTGACATCTTCAGTCCTATGTGCTTTCAGAAAACCATTCTCTCTGCAACGAAAGGAAAAAAATACAAACTAGAGTCTGTTGTGGATTTATTTATCCTCAGATTATTGTTATTATTGCATTAAATTTACCATTTTGTTTTAATTCCTTGAACATAGATGTGTCTTCTGTATCTCTTTTTTCTCACATGCATAGCTTTTAAGGACACATTCACTGTGAGTAGAAGCAGTTGGATATTAGGTCTTTTTTGAAGATTTGAATCTAAAAGTTGGTATCAGTCTAAAAAAAACCCTAGAGAATCTACAAGGTAAATGCCAGTTGTTGTTGTTGTTGTTTTTGCCAGGCCTGGGGATTGAACTCTGGGCTTGGGCATTGTCCCTGACCTCTTTTGCTCAAGGCTAGTGCTCTACCACTTGAGCCACTGTGCCACTTCTGGTCTTTTCTGTGATCATTTGGAGATAAGAGTCTAACAGACTTAACTGCCTAAGTTAACTTCAACCCAAGACCTCGTCGCCAGAGTAGGATTATAGATGTGAGCCCCATCTATAATTTCATCATTTTAAAAAGGAGAATCTTAAGTCTTCTGAACCACAATAGGGACAGCATTTTGACTCTTTGGCTGTGTTGTCTGCTGTCGCTGTTCTTTGTTGTAGTCAGTGAGTAGCAAATAGAAATTTTTTTTGTAGAGATAGATATACAACCACTGGATATAACCTCAAAGCCAGTAGTGTATTGAGCTTGCATTTAAACTCAAATTCTCTTGAATTTGTATGCTTACCAGTGGCATCATTTCTCTCATGCTTTCTTATGCTTGTATTTAGGAAATAGGAAATATGTAAATGGAATTTGTTTATGAAGTCAATTAAGAACTCTGCTTGTTTTGGGTAGTATTTCGGTTTGAACTCAGGGCTTTATGCTTGCTAAGCAGGCTTTCTGCCACTTCAGCCACAAACCCAACCCTGTTTGCTTTTGTTGTTTTTGAGTTGGAGGGGAGGTCTCACTTTTTGCCTCATCTAGCTTCAACTGGAAACTGTCTATTTATATTTCCCATGTAGCTAAGATGACAGATGTGCACAACTATACCTAGCTTTTTTCAGCCTTGAGATGTGGAGTCTTGTGAACTTTTTGCCAGGACTAGCCTTGAATTTGAATCCTCTCAATCTTCCTTTTACTTAAAGAAGGGTTACAGGTATGAGCTATATGGCCTAGCTGCATAAGCATTACTTATTGATATTTTGAAGCAATAGGGGTTGAACTCAGGCAGCCACTGCTTGGAACTATGTCCCCAGTCCTTTGAGCTTTAGTTTTTAAAACTAGATAGTCACATTTATACTCTGGGCCAGCCTAGACCTTGATGCTGTTATTTAAGTTTCCTCTCATAGCTATGATGACATATATACACACAACACCCAAACCAGCTTTTATTGGTTGAGATGGGATTCTCAACAACTTTTTCGTCTTGGATAGTCTTAAACCATAGCCCTAATCTCCATCTCCCAAGCAGCCAGGATAACAGTAATGAATTATCTTACAAAGTTGCATGGGGCTTTTTATACCAGGGACTGAGTTCAGGACTTGCTTTGCTCTTTTTTTTTTTTTGTTAGTCTTGGGTCCTGAACTCTGGGCCTAGGCACTGTCCCTCTTCAGCTCAGGACTCTTCCACTTGAGCTACAGCACCACTTCCAGCTTTTTCTGCTTATGTGATGCTAAGGAATTGAACCCATGGCTTCATACATGCAAGGCAAGCACTCTACCACTGAGCCACCTTCCCAGCCCCATTGCTTTGCTCTTTCACTTGGCTTTTTCACTTAGCACTGGCATTCTACTACTTGAGCCACATCTTCACTTTCTCCACTTCTGGCTTTTCGTTGTTATTTTGGAAATAAGATTCTCTTCCATTTGTCTGCTTGGGTTGGCTTTGAACTTCTATCCTCAGTTCTTAGCCTCCTTAGTAGCTAGGATTATAGGCATGAGCCCATGAGTGCTGGGGCTGGGGTAGAATCTTGTTTATTTAAAAAATAGTGAGGGGCTGGGAAGGTAGCTCAGTGGTAGAGTGCTTGCCTTGCATGCATGAGGCCCTGGGTTTGACTCCTCAGCACCACATAAACAGAAAAAGCCAGAAGTGGCACTGTGGCTCAAGAGGTAGAACACTAACCTTGGGCTGAAGAGCTGAGGGACAGCGCCCAGGCCCAGAGTTCAGGCCCCATGATAGAAAAAACAACAACACATTAGATTTAGTTCCTTAAAAATGAAACAATGGTTTGGCCTAAAGAGAAAGTCCCAGCTACCCTGTAGCTGCATGAGAGAGTGTGGTGATATGGGTATTTTGAAAGCCTTAAAGAAATCTCATTGTGAGACTTGACTGTTTCATTTATTTGGCTCTGGTAGTTTGGAAATACTTGACCATACTTGGCCATAATTAAGCCTCCTAGTTCTGTGCTTATAAGAAAGCAGAAAAACATCAAGAAATCTTAATTGTGATCCAGATTGTTTTAGTGGTGAAAAAAAAGTTCTGGGCTGTGTAAGTAGTGGGGCAGTAGTATAGCCGATGCTTCTAGGAACTTCATGCAATTTTCACTGTAGGAGAGATCTTTGAGATTAATATTTCATTTGGTTGTGAATTATTGACTATTCCAACTTCACTTTCTAAACATTTTTACTGAATTTTAATGGCCTTCCTGCAAATAATGAAGGGTATTTTTTCCATTGACATATAAGATACCCCTTTTGTTGAATGTTCTGTAAATTGTATACTCCAGTACAACCCAGTTTCATTAATACTCTAATACATGGTAAGGTTTGCTGTGACAAAGACTGGGCTAGTTGTTAATTTTTAACAGATCTATAGGTTTGGTTGAGAAAGCACCCTAAAAAAAGTAGGTGGCTGAGTCAGTGCTGAGGAAGATATCATTGGTTAGCGAAATGAGTCCCTTTTCTATAGCTTAGTCCAGTCCACTTCTTCCCTTTTCCACGGCTTAGCATGCTCCCTTCCTAGGCATAGGCCCATGTAGTAAAGGCAGTAATCAACTTCCAACCCCTTCTACCTTGGGATGGTACTTCTCTGGGGCAGCTACCAGCCTGTAAGGCAACAAAAGCCCCTTAGAGTGACCTTCAAGTCTGGGCAGTTGCAGGACCCTTATTTACCATTTGGATAGCAGCTACAAATCCTAGTTTACATGATGAAGCCCCTGGCCCCATGTCCACACCAGGGTCTCTGCCTCCTAATCCCCCTAGGGATAGGTCACCCCAGACAATAGCTGGTGCTTCTTATTCCTCCCTTGTGAGAAGGAGTCTTGCTGGCCCCCATCTTAATTTGCTATCAATTGGTATAAGTCAAAGCCTAGTGCTGAGTACACACTGGATTATTGAAAATATGAGATCTAATGGCTTTTTTCCAATAAGATCTCATGAGTCCATGGAAATAAGGATAATTTGAGTAAGGTGGTGCCTTCTGCCAACAATATGAAAAAAATTCCTGGTATAGTTAGCTTTTGTTGAAATCCTCAGTAACCAGTACTAATTTGGGAAGTGGTGCTGTGGCTCGAGTGGTAGAGCACTAACCTTGAGCAAAAGAAGGTCAGAGATAGTGTGTAAGCCCTATATTCAAGCCCCATGAACCACCAAAAAAAAAAAAAAATCCTAAAAGTACTAATTTCAAGAACACCTGGTGGTAGAAGACAGAATTCAGTGACAGCTTGCCTAGCATGGTAGAACTTGGCGGGGAGGGGGTGGAGGGTGGGGAGTTGATTTTTTTTTTTTTTTTTTTGTCAGTCATGGGGATTGAACTCTGGGCCTGGGCACTGTCAGCTATTCAGCTCAAGGCTAGCTCTACCATTTGAGCTACCATGCCACTTTCAGTTTTCTGGTCTTTCCTGCCAGGGCTGGCTTTGAACCATGATCCTCAGATCTCAGCCTCCTGAGTAGCTAGGATTATAGACATGAACCACCAGTGTCTGGCTGGGATTTGATTTTGAGTGCAAAGAACACCTACCACTAAGAAGATGAGGAAAAACATTTAAAAATAAATAAAACCAGTCATATTAATAACAATTTGTGGGAAATAAGTGAACTATATTAATATTCAGAATTGCAGGAATGACCCATTTTTGGCAGGAACACAAATCACCTCAACAAAGTGGAAATTTGGGACTCTAGAAAACAGATAAAGGATGATGTGAACATCTGCAACTTTTAAGGTTTTCAAAGCATTTTGCAAACAGTAAAAATTCAAGCATTTATATTGTTGATGACAAAAGCAAAAATGGACTTCTAAATTAACCCTATTTCTCTGTATGCACATATATTTTCATTTCAGAAATTATCTTGTGACAGCCTGAAAATTGGGTTTGTGCTGTTCAGCCCACGCTGGCTATTTCAGAGCCACCATAGGTGAGAGCACGAGCTACAACTACAGGCGATGAAGAACCCACATTACCTCAAGCACTAGGAGCTTTACAATTAATTTTTAAGCAGCCATACAATCACAAGCACACAGGCTTTAAAGACATTCCATAATTGATTTGTGTTTTTATTCACAAGACACTATGTTGGAATTGAACTTTACAACTTGGGCGGGGGGTGGGGTGGGGGAGAGAGGAGCAGAAGTGAGAGAAAAAGGAGGGAGGAGGTAACAATGTTCGTCAGGAAAGGTAATCATTAGCAGGGCGCCGGTGGCTCACGCCTGTAATCCTAGCTACACAGGAGGCTGAGATCTGAGGATCGCGGTTCAAAGCCAGCCTGAGCAGGAAAGGCCGTGAAAATATCTCCAATGAACTACCAGAAAACTGGCAGTGGTGCTGTGCCTCAAGTGGTAGAGCGCTCGCCTTGAGCTGAAGAGGGACAGCGCCCAGGCCCAGAGTTCAAGCCCCACGGCCGATCCCCCACCCCAAATGTAATCATTACCTTAGGTATGTAACTGTAAGCCCCTCTGTACGTCACCTTTACAATAAAACTAAATAAAAGACTTAATGTCAGAAGAAGAAGAAAAGAGAAAGCTCAGGCCCAAGATCGCTTGGGCGGAGCGGAGACACACAAACACTAGCACGCTCTCGTCCCGTCCTGCACCGGGCGCTTCCTCGTGTCACGTGACAGCCCTCCTGCCCGCCCCTTCCACGCTTTTTCCTGGGGGGGGGGTGGTGGTGGAG